AACCTCCTTAAGTTTTACTTTGCATTGAGGTAACTGAGGTAAAATTATATCGAATTCTGCACTGTTCACATGGAGAGCTTTATTAGAGATTACGTGTAAGATACTACGCATTGAGTTTAAACTACGTTCACACAGATGTTTTAATGCAAATTATTTTTATTCAAATCAATTTAACAGAATTCAATTACTTCTAACGTTTGAACGGTAAGCGAAGTTAATTTGGTTTGAATTAAGCCGTTAAGGTCGATTCGACATGTCGGTTGATATTTATCAAAACCACTGATACTATTTTTGAATTAAAATAAGAAAACAAATATTAATGACTAACAAATGTACATGCATCATGTCAGATATTTGTTCTGCATGTATGCATTTTAAAGTACCTAGCTGTTAATTTGCAAATGGTTACAAATTTAGTGCGCATTGTTTTCTTTGCATTAACTAGTTGATGAAACAAGGACAACAACAGTCTCGTTTGAAGTCATCATTTCGAAAGTTCTATGGTCGATACAATGACCTTATCAGCAAATACAATCTATCATTTGGTCAAATGCTGACTGATCAATGTTTTTCATACTAATTGTTAGGCCACTATTTACACGATGTAATTTCTACGGATTTTCTGTTTACCCAGTCATGACAAGGCGCACTTGGCGGGTGTGACCGGTCGACAGGGTATGCTTACTCGTTCATGGCACCTGATCCCACCTCTAATGTTTTGGAAGGTTCGTGTTTGCTCTGCTCCTGATTTGCATAGTTTAAATGGACTTATGAGCTTGAATACTGTTCGTTATCTCCATATTACACTGTTCTGTTTATAAATATTACACTTTCTATATATGTTGTATCTAAAATACGCGATACTAAGTATCTCCCCCGGAACGAAGTCGAGGTAAGGGCGACATATTGTATTTCTTCCACCTTTGATTTGACCGATAATATTCTCGCAAATGGCGTGGACAATCTCAAGTAAAACTCGACAGAAATGTTAAATTATCAAATCAAGCTGTGCATTCAACATTTCTTTTTTTAGAATACCCACCGTTGCTATACATATGAAAACTTTTAAGTCTCATTTTTCTAAGTATCTGTTCAGCTAATTTTTTTTTTTTTTTTTTTTTTAAATAAGGCTTTATTTTTTCAGAACGTCAAAGTGATTTTAAAAAAAATGGAATCGCTTGGATATTTTTCTAATCTAGTCATGGAAGCAAAAAAGGTCTATTCATTTTCAATATATTTCAGTTTTCTATCTAAAGATATTTCAAACTGTATAATCTAGATTTATAAGGTCTGTTCAGGTTTCTGGGGTTCAAAATTTCCAAAAAGACTGCCGCTGCCATAGAAACAAGAATGTGGCAAATTTTTGAAAATTTGAATTTTGCAATTTTTCTTAATGTTAGAAGCTTACTCTGCTTTCAACTCCAATATTACACTATTTGGTCAGTTCGGGATTATGAGTAACATATGCCATCGCCTGAAATGGCAAGGATTTTCTGTTAATGAGGCATTGTCTTTCTAATTACTAAGATGCAAGTCATCCAGACCTACAGTACGTTTTATTTTTGATATTCACAATCCATGAATCTTTGTTTTCTATCATATCTTGATAACATACTCTCATTATATAGTTGTTACTTCTTTCTTAATTTTAACCAAAATTTAAATGTTTTTCAATGTTAATATATTTCTATTTGTATTCTACTCGATGCATAATACTCTACACTACTACAATTATTCTTTATTACACTTACTACTCTTTCACATTAAGTGTGAGCTTTTCTGATCAAAATTTGTCTTGTGTCTGTCATTGTTGTTTTCGTAAACATTTAATTTACATTTTCATCATCTTCTCCTGAACCAATAAGCAATTTCAACCAATCTTGCATTAAATCATCTTTGGGTAAGGAAGAATCAAGTTTTTAAAAAAATTTTAAAGAAATTTTCTTCTCAAGAACAAGAAAGAAATGATAATTCATATGTACATGTATATGGAAACATGCATTCGCTGGTAGTCATATTAAATGTGTTCAAATCATGACTCCTCGGGGTATGATGGGGCCATAATGGGCGATCGAAGTTTTACATAAGAATTTATCAAGAAAATCTTTCCAAGAACAGCAGAGAGCCACGATTTAGTCATATTAATGTGAAAACATTCTCAGGCAGTGTAGATTCAAAATTGTTCAAATCATAAACCCCCTGGGGTAGCTATAGGGTGTTACATAGGAATATATAGGATTTTTTAAAAATCTACTTCTGAAAAACACATAGCCATTATTAGTCATATTTATATAATGAAACCCTCAGGTAGTGTAGATCAAATTCGTTCAAATCATGGCCCATGGAGTAGGGTTGGACCACTTCAGGGATCAAAAATTAAAAAAAAAAATCTTTTCAGAAAGAATGGGTTCCGACTCTTTTTTTAGAGCTCTACTTTACATTTAACATTTATTTTTCTATCATTTAAACGTTTAGGTAGAATGGACACTTTACCCATTTGTATTCCAGAATCTTTGTATGGCTCCTATAGAGCCATTTTCCAGTAAATAAGCTTATCTGTCATCTAAAAAACAAATTATCAATTAATCAGTTATTCAATATTAATAATAAATGAATCAAATTTGTTAAATACGACATTACTTACAAGATATTTTTTTGAAAAATATAACTATTCCATTAAGTGAAAATTGAGAAACATATCACAGCGGGGGATATTCCTCGCCATATTCGCCCCCATTCTTTCCTTCTAATTTGATTAAATACTTCAATCTGCGTGATACTGATTTGTAAGACTTGCTGTCTCCTCAGGTTCTGGCGTTTAAAATTTACAAAATGACTGCCGCTGTCATGAAAGCCAAAAAAGGTAAATTTCTGAAAATTTGAATTTTGCATGGTACATGCCAGACCTGGGGATAACGATAATATGTAACGGAAATGCGTTTATTGTATTCATTACTACCATTCAAAGTAACGTTTACTGGTCCATCTTTCATTACAAGTAATGGCAAAGTAATGGATTAAATGAAATATGGAGATAACGAACAGCTAAAAAGTGTCAGTAATGACCAATACTTTTCAATAATTGCGTTTTGTCTTATCTTTATTTTTTTTTTTTTTTTTTTTGAATCTGAAACCAATCGAGGTCACTGACAGGTGATTTTTTTTATATAAAACATACGTAAGAATAAATTCTTATTTTACCTCTTTTTTTAAAAAAATGTTTATTCAATGGCTATTGATAGACATCCTAAATGATTGTTTAGACAGAAAACATCTTGACACACAGCTATAAAGTCAATTGAAAAGAACCAGGAAAATATACCTATAGAGATCTTTTTCAACAGTAGCCACAAAACGAGTGACAATAGTACACTCTACTGAGCACTGACCAGTTTTAGTGAAATACAAATTAAATTATTTTTTAACTGAATTTCCTACTTCACAAAATTCATTCTCTGTGAGCAAAATGCGTATTAGATCATTACGATCTACCAGAGGTCACAAAGAAAAAAACTTTAAGGCCAAATATATAGATTTATGTCCATTATTTATTATTTCTGGTAAATTTTAATTTTAAACAGTGACAGTGAGGATCGAAATTAGCTAAATCTTTTATAATGTTGATCATTTCAAAACCCTTATACACGTGTTTTAAAGATCTCTGTTCCTTCAAACCCCCCTTTAACAATGGTTGGGTACCTCATTCTACATGTATGCGATGGAACCACATGGGGGGGGGGGGGTGATGGGAAGGGGAGACCGAAATACTAAAATTCTAAAAGTTCTCAAATTTCCGTGTAAATCTTACATTTGAGAATTTAGAAATTTAAGGGGGATAACGATGTACTCAGATAATAACGATGTACTCAGATTTCAGCAGATCAATCAATCCATTTATTATGATATACATGTGCATGTATTATTTGCTCATCTGTGTATACCTGGCGCAGATGGAAGTTTATAAACATCGTGTATACACATACAGTGTAGCAACGAAGAATCACGGATCGATCAGTTATGTAAGTATATGACATTACAGCTTATTGAGAAGCAAAAAATAAAATAAGAATAGATAAATAAGTATAGGTAAGAAAAGGAAAATAGTGAGAGGATTTAAATTATCTAATTCTTCTGAACAGTGTGAAATTAATAAAAAAAAATTAGATGGTCATTAGTTAGAAATTCAAGTTACTTTTAACATTTTCCACTCTTTTTTTCGATTGATTATTTTGTTATTTTTCACCTTCATTATACAGTTAATTAATTATCAAATCTAAAAGTTCGTGAAATGTTGAGTCGATAAAGAACATTTTATGGTTTTTCATTTTTTTTTAATCTCTTTTCTTTTCTTTTCTTTTTTTTTTCTTGGATCGATTATAAATTTATATGAATACATATATAATAATTCATAGAAATATAATTATTTTATCACGTTTAAGCTAGATCCTAATTTTACCACGAAAAAATAAAATACATATCAAAAATACATTTATATTACAACCCGGCCTGGAAAAAGCACAATAAATTTAAAACTACACTGTAATCAGGTGGCTAGAAATATTGGCAGTTATTCTCATCTACCTCAGAAAAATTCAGAAAAGAATGTTTTTAATGCACACATTTTCCTTTTTTTTAAATCCCTTTTTAAATAGTTGATTCGACATTTAAATGCTTATTTTGCATTAATTTATAGATTTTTTTTTTTTTTAAATTTAGTAGATGGTCGTATTTAATACAGATATTGGCATGAATGCGTGCATTGTAAAATAACATCCAAACAAAACAAACGTTAAGTCTCTCATTGAAAACAGAACAACGGAGGATAAAAATCTTATTTTACGGGTGTTTAATTAAATTCTCTACACCTGGTCAACTCTGAATACCTTCTGCGCTATGTATTACTTAATCGGTTTATTAAAGCGCCCAATTCAATATAATATCGTCTGCTATATGAAGATAGTTTATAACCGTTAGATAATTACGATTTTATTTGGAAACTTCTTTATCGGCGTCAGCCAGGCAAGGAGAAATCGATAATCTACAGGGCTATTTCTTTCTTTCTCTCTCTCTAGGTCGATTGCAGGAAATTTTATCGTCTGCTAACATTATTTATGGATGAGTCATCTTTGTTATCGACGTAGAGGCAGACGATCTGACTTCGTTTCCATAGCACCCACTGAAATGTAATTATCCACAGTGATCCTAATGCCGTTTTGCCGTGATCTTATTAAACGCGTTCAAAGAGCTCTTGCTTCAGGTTGAAGAATCACTGCATCATTGAGGTAAGAGCTGTATATATTTATTACAATTTAGCTGTTATAAAATTGTGCACTGCTATCGCGCTGTATTTTGTAAATAAGGTTTATACTAACTGGGTCGGCTGGAGGGGCATTTATTTTTATCTTAGATAAACAAAACACGGATTTTTCTCCGGCGAAATCTTATTTGATTGAAAACATTTGTTAAATTAACTTCACTTTTTTAAGTTTTCAATACAGCATACAAATGCTTGAGATTTTAATGCAAATGTATATAAGGCATACATGTACAAACTCAGAGGTGTACACTTTTGTGATGCGTAATATCAATTTACATTGTACTTCCAAAAATAACAAAACGTCGGGAGGGTTCCTTTGTTTACGCTATGCAGCTGTTACTGATTTAAATGTGCGCATTTTATGTAGTTAATAACGAAAATAAATTGATTTAGAGCATGCTCTCGAACAAGTTATTGAAGTCTTAAAAATAGAGCTTGAAAAAAAAAAAAGATTTGCCTGAAACATGTTTATTTAAACAATCATGCATATACCTGTTTTATAAACCCTTATCACAGCTATTTATACAAGATACTCGTTCACGCAAATTTTAGGACAATGTTTTAGATTTTCACTTTACCTTGTTATTTGTCGTTTACTGTTAATTTAACGAAATTAAATGTCTTGCTTGTGTGTACTTGGTAAGAAGAATAAACTGACTGTTAATTGAAAATCGCAATGGACTCACTAATTACATGTTTTCAATAATTATTTTTAAAAAAAATATATCAAATTTATTTCTTTGAAAAAAAGCTATTGTTAAAGGACGTAAAATAATTAAACATTCTTCAACATACATGCGAGATATTGAAAAAAGGAAGATGTTTCGAATCGCCATCTACATTTTATTTTATTTTTTCCAAAAAAAATATTTAAACAGGCAAATATTATAGGCTCGTATTTTTTTCATATCAAATTGATTGTTAAATGTAATTTAACACGTTTAACAGGCGATGGACGTTGACGGCGAGACGAATGAAAGTGATGACGTCACAATAGTAGAAGAGACACCAGAAGAGAATAACCATGGAAAAGAGAAAGTCTTAGCACCGCTGGCACCAAAGCCACTTCCTGTAATGATTAGACGATCTGTTCCGGGTCATAAGCTCATGCCAACTCGATACCTTACTAACACTAGTCACCCAGGTTTTATCAACGCATGGCGCATGCTCAAGAAACAAGAACAGTTGAAGAGAGGTCCGAAAGAAAAAGAGACATTCCGAAGAACCATGTACTGTCTTCCAGATAAATACGCAAAACTTCCGAAATTCTCCTCTGCCGATCTAGCAGAGAAAGCTTTGGTGCAAGAGCACCAAGATATGGGATATGGTATGTAAATAATGCGGGAAAATCTGATTTTTATTGAAATGAAATTCTTTTTTTAAAAAAATAATCGAAATGTTTTTTGAAAATGACTCATTTTTTGGGGGTCAATTCTAAACAGGCAATGAAAATACTCAAGTTTCATGTGTATGATTAGATTTAGAAGAAATAATTTTGATATGCCTTTTTGTCAAATTATTCAAATTTCTAATTTTAAAGTAAACTTCTTTTGCTTTGAAGGATATCCTGCTCAAGACTATGATTCTAATCAAATTCCCAGAAAAACGGAACTCTGTCTTTCTCTGTCACCTCAAGAATTTGAAAAGCACCTCTCTGAGGTTCTTTACCCAAGCCTGAAAGGAAAGAAATTCGAAATCTACAAGATAGACAAACAACGCCGTTTGATCCGCCTCGCCAAATACACTCCCCGAGCAATCAAAGACTCCAAGTATCAAGGCAGCCTCATTATCATACCATATGTAAGTACACGAACGATACAGTAATTATGTTCGTGCTCTAATACACTGATACAAAGATTAAGATTGTTAACCAGTTCAAGGATAGTCAATGAGGAAACTAAAGACTCAGAAGGCGCTCTAAGGGGAGCACTTTAAAATGACAAAATTAAACTTGTGTCTGCTGCATTGAAACAAAGGACTACTCATGTCTTTATTGTTATAAGATATACACATGAAATCATATTATCCACCACGAGTTATTTAAAATTACTATTTAAAAATCATGATATGATCGAGTCGCCTAATCCATAAGTACCTTAAATTCCCAGAGATGTTTCATAAAGATTTTTATTATTCACTTTTTCGCAGGTAAAGGAGGAGGATCGCCCCCCTCAGGTCCTTTACCGTTGTGGGGAGGAATACTTCATGCACCAAGTGTCTTCTACGACCAGTCCCCCAAACCAAATACCTCTCATCGGAACCCCTCCAGAGTTACCGAGACCTATCAGTGAGGGTAGCGTTGAAGGGGCTTCACAATCGTCCATTGCCACGTCATCCACAAATTTTCAAGTGACGTCACCAAAGCACCATGTCATTCACAGAAATCCATCACCATCTCCTCCAATGGTACAACAACAAGTTATCGTGAGTTTGGGTTTTTATACATTGTACCATACATGTTGTTTTATTAATTTTCGTCGAGATTAAATTTCGTAAATACAATTTCGTTAATGCGTAAATTGTTGAACAGGTACCGTGTCCTGTTCTATATAATCAATAAAATCATTACTTCATTTATCAACTCAGTTCGTTGCATTGCTCAACCACGAAATCAAAGATAATTGCTTTTCAACGAAAAATGACGAAATCACAATACATCTAAAGCTGCAATGATTCTTTTTATTTTCACGTTGGCTAGAAAAGAATTTACATCAATTTATAAAGTTTAACTTAACATACTCAGGAGTGCAGATTACCAGCCAGATCTTTTCATATCTCATTCATCTGTATGCAGATCTGATTTTAATTAGTGGGTAATTGCTTCTTTCAGCTGGACTTGACTAACACCGTTATTAAATGTGAAACAGAACATGTACCAGAACAAAACGTTCCCAGAGCCAACTTATCTATTGAAACTAAAGGTAAATAATGTTTTTTTCCCTTGAATATCCTACTATAATAACTTTGAAAATTATTCTGCCTTTTTCATATTTTCTTTGATCCGCTCACATAGATTGCTAAAAGAGATCCGGTTAAGGGTTATCTCCTGATGACCTTCAATTTATACCCAATCAAACGTTCATAATTCTCTGGTTTCGGACATATAAACTTTTCGTTGCATCAATGCAATTGATATTTGCACTTGATCTGTTTTAATTCATTGATTTGTATGAACTTGAAGATCTTTTCTACAGCTAATTTCACTTCAATGTTCGACACCCGGAAGGTCGATAAAGTGCGAGCTCTCTGATTGGCCAAAAGTTAGAGGAATGTTTTTTGTTTGAAAGATTACCAGGAGATGACCCTGAATGAGATTTTTTCAGATCCTTGTGTTATGATCTATGTGAGCGGATCAACTGATCTGGTTTTAATCGGATTGTTTCATTGTCAATTTAGTAAAAATAAATTTCAAGTCTTGTTTTATATTTTTTACAGCAAAATGCAAGATATTTGAAATATCTGAATTCCTCAGAATGCAAATCCAGGAAAAAACTTTAATTCATATCAGAAGATCCCATGTGTTGTCGGATGTCATAAAAATCTACCAGAGAAACCCGGGAATACTTCAAAGTGATTTTAGCGTCTGCTTTGAGGAACATCCATGTAATGATGACTCGGATCACGTGCCATTGTCACCATATGCGATGTTTGTTGAGTTTTGGAAGGAAGCATTTGCAAATGTTTTTGCAGGCAATCAAGAATCAGTCCCAATGATAGACCTCTCCATTGATCCAGAGTTTTTCAAAACGCTTGGTAAAATTCTTTATCATGGACTTATACTGTTAGACTATTGGCCCGTAAAATTATCACAGGCTTGCGCATGCGTAATGATTTTGAATACGTGTTCTGATCGACAACTTCTGACGTCACTACATCGAACCATGTCTGATCAAGAGAGGTCTGTAATAACTGAGGCAAAAAGAGAAATTCGATCGGGGTGTTCTGAATTTTCTCTGTCAACAACAAGAAGCTTGTACCAAGTTCTCCGCTTATATGGCAATACACAAAGACCAAAGCCTGGAAATCTAGAACAACTTCTACTACAAATATCAAACTACTACTTAAAGCAGAAGTCGTACTGGGCGTTGTTTGAAATGAGGAGTGGACTACAGGCTACTGTATCAGACTTTCTCGGTCATTTGGAGGAACAAGACGTGTTCACATTCTATTCACTCCTCACCCCAAACGCTTTATCCTTATTTGAAAAGACAATCTACATGTTCTCCGCCGCAGACAACAGCATTAATGAAATGGAAGAAAAGCGTGTCAAAATGTACTTCGAGAACTTTGTAATGAAACTCAATTGTGAAACCCTTTCTGCACTTCTCATTAAATGGAGCTACTCGGATTGTCTCTGCATGGAACACTTGTATGTGCGGTTTTTGCCCAATGCTATTTCTGACAGGCCTCATTTTGATCCAAATGAGACCACACTGACGTTGTCGTCTGTGTATACGTCACAGGAAGAACTTCATCAATTGATGATGTCAGAACTGGAGACGTAGCTTACATTCCGTGAATGTCTAGAACATATGTCTGGTGACACACATTCTGTGTTTAATGTATTATTGGTGTATTGCATTGGCAATCAGAATGAAAGAAAACAATATTGCATGTTCTTATGTTTGTTTCAAAACATAAAAAAACCTGTTTGGTATAAAGTTCTTGACTACATTATTGAAATGATGTTGTGATTGCAAGGAATCAAGGAGAAGATTATTCTGTCTTCGAGTATGAGACAATTCTAATGGAAGACTTTTTATTTTACAAGAAACATGTCACTCATTCTGAAGTTTGGAAAATGTTAGGCTTCTTTGTCTGAATTTAAAAAAAAAAGATAAAATGATATATTTTTATATTTTCCAAAGATATTTCCGTGCAAGAAGTAAATTATATGATGTTTCGTTTGAATTCATGCAATAGGTCTGACTAGAAATTTTATAAAACCTAAATGACATGAGATACGCTATTCTAGTTAAAGGTTTAAATGAGTCTGGGAAGGACACGGTTTCAATGTCATGTGACATGTACCGATGGACGACAATATGTGCAGTAAGGGTAGGTACACATTGTTGCCGGCGACAATATGAATAGGACGAAAAGAGCCATAGCTGCCTTACCGACGACACGGCCGACTCAAGAATTTAAAAGGAAATCACCTGTTTCTATTTATAGATATACTGTACCTTTTCAATTCATGAGCAAACTATGTAATATGATTTGAGGACGAGTGTTATATTTTCATAGTTGCAAGTATGTCAAATGACAATCATTTTACTTGTTCAATACTCTAATTCTGAGACAAAAGATTTACGCAGAAAATCAATAACAATAAAACAAGTTGCTATGAATTTGTAAACTTTAATAAAATAGTTGACTGTCTTTTTCCAAGATACTTTCAAAGTGTAATGTGTATATTATAACTTTCTGAAATTGTGTATATTATAAAACATAATTAAGAAAAACGTTGAAAAGATACACAAAGAAAAAAAATTTAAAAAACATGAATGGAAAAATGTGGGGCTCGAACTCGCAATCACCATATTTACATTCCAGCAATCATACCGCTGCGCCAACGAAGTCAATAAATTTAACACAGATTGCTAAATCTTACGATTATATGAGAAGAAAAAGTTAATATACATTTTCATCATTTTCAATATGAAGACCACCTTTAACCAAAATTATCTAAAGGGAATGAAGTGCAGACATATCCAAATAAAATTATTCAAAAGTTGTTTTTCTGGTTAAGGGTGGTCTTTGGCAACAGTTTTTCATCGTTAGGTGGATACCTCAATATTTACTATATATTATATACAAACTGGATAATTTTCACATTTATCATATGAGGAAACTATTAACATTTCAATATCATTATTGTGTGATTTGGTTTAAAGCATGTATAAACTAAGACTGTATGACAAAATTTTGGTTAAAAAATGTATTTAAGAAATCACTAGTAGAGTAGGCGAAAATGCCTATCAAATGCACTATGGCTCTTTGTGCCGTCACAATCGCGTTCGTGAATTAGCATAGGAGATACGTGTGATTTACACAAATTACATTCACAAAACTAAAAAAAACCCATAAAAATATCTTCTAAAACAGCAATATCTGTGTGGCGACAATAAGTGCAGTGAGGGAATGACACATAATGTCGCCGACTATCGCACCTTTGCGACATTGTACCCTTGCTCAATGGTGTGATAGTGAACTAAGTGGTTCTATCAGATTCAATTTAAAAAAAAATCTGACAAAACGAAATTTGCAGGGGTCTTGCTGCATGATCACGCCTGATTAACAAAATTCAGTTGATTTTGAACGTTGCGAAAACGAATTTTTACGATTCTTTTGTGAAAAATAACTTTGCAGCCACTATATTACTAGTTTTTTGTGACAAGAATCTACTTTACACTATTACAGCAGTGTTTAAAGAAAAAGGAACGAATTTTAAAATACCTCCAACCTAATGAATAAGTGTAGTTAAAAATGTATTAAGACTTTCCTCTAGATTGTTTCTTTTTAACTATTATCATGGTTCCTTTTGGTTTCTGGTGGAACATAGGGCCTCAGGTTTAACTATCCTTGTCCTTTTTTTTTGTTGTTTATATCACGTTGGAGCTATACATGTTCAAAGATGGACATCAAAGGTCAAGGCGATTTCTGATAACGCGATTCGTAAATTAAACACTTACAAGTCTGAAAAATTATTTCGTATTGTCTGAAAATGAAAAAAAAAAAAATAAAAGAACGGCCATTTTATGGCGCGGGCGTAAAAATGTTCTACTTCTCAATATCAGAACAAACTCAAGTAGTTCAGACATGACATATCTAGATATGAGATTAGATGAACATACATACTGTCGTGTCGCCCTTTTGGGTGACCGCACTTTATCTTGGGAATTTGTCTAGCTCGCTCGCTTGTGAGAGACCCTTAATTATAATGATTCTGCTTTTCGGCCACCAGGTCCAGATTAGGTTTGGGTGCACTGTAATAAGGAAAAGCAAAGCGTGGATCAAATTAAAAACGATGTTACTTTATTCACGTCTCCGAATAGAATGTACAACAAATAGTCACCAGGCACAATAAAATAAATCATTATGAGTTGCTCGTAGCATTACAAACAAGTGTGCCCTAACCTACCTAACATCTGGTGACTCATAGAGTGATTAAACAATATTAAAAAGACTCACTCTATATAATAAAAATCTAGACAATGTAATTTCCAACTGAAATACTAAAGCTCGTACTTTTGTTTACACTGGATACATTTAAATTTACCTCCCTCGACTGGAGAGTTTGATAATAATAATAGAGCCAAACAAAGAAAGGCATTATATTTCCGGTATAAAACCGATAAAAAGTAAAACGTGTCTAACTATAAAACTACACTCTACATAGGACTACAACTACCAAAATACAACAAAAATCATAAGAACACACATCAAATATAAACACCCTGATCTCAATATAATACTTTTATAATAGATTTCTATTTTAATGAAAGCTCAAATTTTGTAAACTAAACCTCAATTTTTTGTAAACTCCAGAAATTAATTGCAAATGTTAATAAATAATTAATTAATCTTTTCTTTATAAGTTCTAGAAAAATAACTTAACCAAATAAAACATTTTTACCATACCTGTAATAAGGAAAAGCAAAGCGTGGATCAAATTAAAAACGATGTTACTTTATTCACGTCTCCGAATAGAATGGCCGAGTTGCGGGCGCAATTCCATTCGGAGACCCACGCTTGCCGTAAATTATTTTGTCCAATCAAATTAGTTTTTCTTTGTTAATTTGTATCAATAATAGCCAAAATATCGTATTTTGAAAAATCACGTGACATGAACTGACCATTACCTGAGTATTTGACCTGCCACTTAACAAGTTAATCCCCTAACAATAGGTTAATGGATTCTACTTCGTTTGATAGTGTTTTTGACACTAGATAAAAAAGATAAAAGAACCCATAAATAAATGTACAAAAAAAAAACACATCACCTATCTACAAATTACTGCTGTTCTCTTTTTCCAGCAAAATTACGTAATTGTATGGCTAAAGGCTTAAACAGTTTACTAATCCCTCATGCCAAATATTCTGAGTAACACATATTATTTATTTTAGACAATTACCTGTACTTATTTTTTTCTTCAAAGACATTCCTTCTTTTTCATCAAATAAAATACTATTACCAAATTTCTATACATATATCTCAAATTGTAACAGGAAATAAAATAAAGACTTTACTATATAATTCCTACAAAACGAGAATAACCAAAATGTTATGTTAAAATATCCACAAACATTAATCTTAACCCAAATTGAAATATTAATTGAATAAAATTCAAAGTGAAATTTTATCTTTAATCATAACTGTCCTTTCTGACATATTTCATTTTGTCAAATAAAATCTGCAACATGACTATTTTCCCCCTTGCTACCATTGCTTTCGTCCCTGAAAGCTCAAATTTTCCTCATGGATAATGAAAAATATTTAATTTGAAAGATATCCAAGGCATCAATTACATACCCTCAACAAAAAAAATTAATACATTGTTTTTCTTCTTTTTTTTGTTTTGTTTTATGCAATATATCACATGTTTAAAAACTACAATTAAACCTATGGATAAAAAAAATATTTATATAAAAAAAAATATATATATATACATGTATATACATAAAGGCAATATTGATACCCATATATGTGTTCATTTTGAATCCCTGAGATTTTTCAATACTTTATTACTTATAAGTGGGAAAAATGAACAAACAAATATCATAAAATAGTCATCCAATATTAAAGAGTAAAAAAAAAACAATGAGGTCCCTGTAATAAGAGTTCATACAATAAATGGAAAAAGAAAAAAAATTATTGAGTTGTGCGATTCAATGCAATGTTGACAACGGAACATAGAAAAAAATTAAAACCATACAAAAGGAATTGAAAATATTGTTAATTTTTTCTGCATTGGGTCATTTAAAGGGTAACCAGCATGTTTTTGTGTGGGTTATTTAGATGGAAAGCATAATTGTTGTGTAATAAGATGACATAGGCACTGAATGGTTGTTTTAAAATTCTTTTGAGTTTATGGTGGGTAAATGGGTTGATGGTAATGGTTGATGGAATGGTAATGGTCATGTTGGTTCGAGTGTCAGTGACTTTGAAATTTGTCCACGTAGCTAATAATTTGCATGATGGAAAAGGAGTAATTGAAATATCTGCAATTTGAGGTGTTGAAATAGTGTAATATGAAGGACACAAGGACAATCTAGTTATAAACACCATAACACAATCACCACCTGTAGTTAATTCTAGTGCCAAAATGGATCCTTTGCATGACTTTGATTTGTACATCCAGTATAAGAGAAGTCCCAAGATGACCAGTACAACTGTACTTAAAATAACTGATGCATGAATCCAAGTAAATTCTGAAAACCAAGTTGAGCTTATGTCTGTTGGATTAGGAGTTGAAGTTTCAAGTTTTTCATAAATGAAAGAAGGGACTTTGTCAGATGTGACATTT